AGATTAAAGCCAACTTAAATTACTTTGAGCGGGCAAACAACGTTGAGAAGACTGTATTGCGGCGTATGTACATAGCAAATATGAATATTTATATTCACCTGTTTGCACTCAATTTCCACAAACTCGAGCACTGAATATTTATTATGTGCTGCGTCAGCCTCTCAGCTTCTCAGCCAAGCCGCCAACAGGCTATTTAATCTTAATTCCTTTCACATAATCTATAATAATGCCTACATACAGGTAAGGAGACAGACAAACAGAAAGAGACAGAGAGAGAGAGAGAGAGAGAGTGAGTTTTACTTATGCATGCATTTATGTATATGCTGTTGAAAACTATCTGTTCGTCTTACAATTAGTTACCTACAAGTTTCTAATTGGATTACAACATTAAGCATCCATAACAATTCAAGCAACTGTGAGCACACTGTTCAGCCGTAAGTAACTCCAACTAAGAGCTGGGCCTCTAGTTACTTACTAAATGTTGCCACAATTGTATCTAAAATGCATTGTTAATCGGATCTACGCATTGTGCATGCTTCTGTTGGCTTGCACGTTACAAGCTGGACCAGCGCATCACGCATACGTCATGTTGTACAACGCTGATTCTGTTGCCTACCTTTCAGCGCACTATGTGTGTGTGTGTGTGGGCGTGCGTGTAGGTTCTGGCATACATATAAATCGCCCTGTGCCTTTGCTTTAATTCTTTTCAAAAAATTTGCTCAGCGCCCACAGCACGTATGAATAAAGGAAACAGCGTAAAAAAAGGAAATTCTTCAACGAAACAAAGCAAAAAGAAAAAAAAACCTTTTCAATTTTCAACTGGCTATTTATTTTCTAAATTAGAAATTTCTTATATATTTATATATATATGTATGTATATACATATACATATTGGACCACACACACACATAAATACATACATACAACTGTACGGCAAATATAATTTGTGGGGCACGTGCGTAAAATTTAATGCGCCGCCTGCGAACGACCTACAAATTGTGAATTCTGCGACCCGTTGCTCGCCCGCTTGCCCACTTGCCCCTAAAGCCCACTCAGCCAAACAATTATGTGTTGACTCAAGCTCAATATGATGTGAATGCACTGAATACATAACTACTCTTTCACATATACACATATACGCATACCCACACACACAACACATATATGTATGTATGTATATATATACATCTCTATTATGTATACCAGATAAACTTGTCATCTGGCCGGCTGCTGTATTTTGATTTCGTTGTCGATTTAATATTTATGTTGATTTCATGCATGTTCATATATGAAAACAAAGTTGGATTATTCTTTAAAGTGGAAAACAGCAAAAAAAAAAAGAAGAAAATAAAGTATTAAAAAAATATTTATTACATTTCATTTTTATATCTCTAAATGAATATAATATATATATATCTGAAAATCAGAAATAAATACTTTATTTTCTTGAACATCATAGAATTAAGTAATTAATTTATATTGCATAATTAAAAAAAAAAAAAACTTAATATTGATTGAGAAATTTCTTTTCACATTTTCCTTTTTAAGTTTTGTATAAATTTTGTTTGCGAAACAGAAGAGCAGAAACTGCTTAAATTTGAGCTAGCTTGACCTTTGCTTGTCAATAAAAACCATGCTATGCTTTGCTTTTTGAAATGCTTGAACATCCAACTTATTCTCTGGAACTGATTCCGAGTGACTTATTCCTATAAAAGACCTTAGGAGCGAGTTCGCCGAAGAGTTAGTCGCTGTTAAATTGTACTTTGAAAATGTTATTGGACAAGTTTATTGCTGATATAATATTAAATTATAAAAATATATACGGTGTATATATTTAGCCAACTGGCCTGAAAAGTTCGTAGAAAAATCTTTTTGTTATAAACTTTGATTGATCAATGGCTCGTTCTCCTCTTGATACTCCCCTAACTATTCCACTTTTTGTGTGCTTACCCAATGCCCGTTAACTTTTCTGTGAATATACAAAAAATTATAATAATGATTATCATAATAATCATATATATGCATATATTTTTTATGTGATTATTCCAGAGAATATCATAAAAACCATATAAATATACATATATATTACAATGAAAATATATGCATATATTTATTTAACGTTAAAGCTTTGCAAAATTACGGAAAGGGTATTTTAATAAATTCGTATATTTGCCAAAGCTCGCAGCTCAAACCAACATATGTGGCATGTGATTCCCTTTGTCGTTGTTTGCTTAAGCTGATATTGTTTCAGCTATATTCGTGCATGTTTTGATATGCAAGTCATTTCGGTGAATTCCAGCTCTGTCCCGGGGCTAGGATTGCCTGGGCAGGGCAGGGGGCAGGGCACGGGGCAGGGCACGGGGCAGGGCTGGATGAGCGACCTGGCCATAATTTGCCAGCTGGAGTTCGCTAAATGTCAATAAATTGCGAGCGCAATATTAATTAAGAAATTCACAGAACAGCCACAAAGCGCCGCTGCATGGACATTCATTTTGTTGCCAGCTAACTGAAGCCGGCTTACACACAACCATACACACACACACACATACATACATACACATTCACACTTGTATAGTGGCGACTTTATGCGGCAAAGGGTTAAAAGCATAAAAGCCCGAGGTGTTTAAGCATATTTACACAATACGTGCATATACACTACACGAGTGTGTGTGTGTGTGTGCATGTGTCTGTGTATATGTGTTAGGCATTCAGACATGTGTGGAGCGTTACCCACTCCCTTGTCCCCTTGCAGTGCGCCGCACAAGTGCCTGTGGTTGCAGAGTGTGAAATATTTTGCTCTGCCACATCCTACACACACACACAAACACACATGGCGTCTCTCTGTGTCTGTGTGTGTGTTTTTGTGCCCCCGCCGTATCTTGTCTGAGGGTCTGGCCAGCAGCTCCTAAATAAACAAGTCCGATGCTGTGGCATTTCCTGCTTTAAACTTGAATTTCGAGCACATTGTTCGTGCCAATACGGGTTCCCTCTCTTCTTCTTTTCTGTACGTTTTTTTTTCTATTTTCTTCTTTTTTTGTGGACTCCTCTAACCCATTTGTAGATCTGCATGTGCCCCAGGGCCAAAGCCAAAGCTTGCTCAACTTAGACAACAGACGAAACTATTCAATAAATTGCTCTTGTTGTTGTTGTTGTTGTTGCTGTTGTTGTTGCTGTTGTTGTTGCTGTTGTTGCTGCTGCTGTGGTTTTTGACTTTGTGCTGGAACCCTTTCAACACATCCAACCGAAACAGAAACTGAAAATGAAACTAAAACTGAAATACAAATAAAATGGCTCATCTTGAACAAAATTAAATTAAAGGCGCCACAGCCAGAGACAACCTCTCATAAATTGTGCAAACACTTGGTGTTTCGATTTATTCATGCAAATTCTAATTCGAGTGGGTTATTTATTAAGTTTTAACCAAGTGGCTAATGCATTGTGGAGCTGTGCATGTATAAAATAGAAATTCTTGTGAATTAATTAAAGTTTAACGACAATTATTAATTATCATTTTTAATAAGTAATTGATAGATATTTGTGCTGAGATTTATTTCAATAATAATTATTTTATTTATCTTACTCAGTTGGAAGTAGACCTTTTGCTATTAATCATATAAGAGTTTATTTCCTGGAAATATTTTGCTATGCCTGTAAAATTGTTGCCCTTTAATAGGCTTATATAACATAACCAAGAGCTTAGCTTGGCTTAGTTGAAAAATTATAATTTTTATAATTTTAAAATATATATTTTGTTGCATTTATTATTTAACTTAACTTATGACGATTCTCTTTGATTTACTCTTAGTGCCATATATATGTTTAAAAGGCTTCATATAAAGTTGCAAAGAGTAAGGGTTAGAGAGCGTGTGAGCGAGACAGACATAGAAGCACCGACTCTTTGTGCGTGTGAGATCTGCCGTCCGATGGATGAGTGTTTGCCTCTGTGAAGAGAAATGCCTCAAACTGATAAACAATAAATAAAATAAATAAATAAATTACATATATTGCCATAGAGCATGGGCCAGAAGTGCTTTACTAAACTCTCTACACTCCAGGACTTTGTCGTAAATTCCTCCATGGTGTCGATAGGTAACCCTCACTCAATACCAACTTTAAGCTAGAGCAAAAGTTTGTATGAGTAAAAAGAGGTTTATTAAACAAAACAAAGTTCATGCAAGAGTTTGGTAAAGGAAAGTAATTAATTTGATATTGTTAGCAGCTCTTCAGCGTTGTCTAGTAATGTAAATTGAGAGACTGCATAGCAGCAGACAGAGAGCAACAAGCTAAGATAAGAGCTGCAGTCGAGCAGATGCAAAATTTAAGAAGATATATGTGTGGCACAGCTACTGACGCTACCTCTAATAATAGATTAGCTTTGTTATCAAAGAATATTTACACTTTAAATGCATTTTTCGCTCGAGCGTAAGGAGAAAATATAAATGCAAAGACAGTTTGCGTTTGCATTGAGTGCAGTAGTATTTGCCAGTCAGTTGCCAGACTGAGAGCTAGCTGCTAAGCATGATGAATAACCAGTCTGATCTATATTTTCCAAGCCAAAAATTATAGCTCTATCAGCTTCATAATGACTCACCTGTTGAAGGAGCTGCTCCTGCCTTTTAGGCTCTTGGAATGCCGTGAAGATTTATATTCAACTACATAATCCCCATATTCTTTAATTGAGGTTGGCATATTTAAGTAAATATTTAAATAAATAAATATATCTAGGCTGTAAAAATACTAATATGTAGCAGCTCACATATCTTAGCCCAATTAACACCTCATAAGACGCGCATAGACAAGATGATACATATATGTATACCAGAAGTCTGTGAGCAGATGGCGGAAACTTCTTATAGCTTTAAGGCATTCGTGACATGGAAATTTGCATCAGTATGCAAACGCGTAACTAGTCTCACGTCTAGCAGGGTTTTTTCTGAGCTGGCAATGGAAACATTTGCAAGTGATTTCCCGTATCACAGCCCTCTCCACGATAGTTCACATATGTATATCGTTTAATTAGCTTTATTGACTGTACGACATTTTGCTGTTATTAATATATTCGGTTTAGCACGTTCACTCAGCCCAGCTGTGGCTTTCCATTGGGCTGGGCAGCTGCCTCCTGTCCGCCAATCAAGCCGCCCAGGCTCATCTGCAGGGAGCGCAATATGCCAATGGGAATCTATATGTGTGAGAGAGAGAGAGGTAGAGAGAGAGAGGGGGTTAACATGGGTCAGACAATTAAGTCGCATCGGCTGACGCGTTGGATGACTCACGTCGAGTGCCTGGCCAACGACTCCTTGAGCCTGCGGTCCTATGACGTGCTGTCTGACACCCTGCGTTCCTTGGCGTGGGCCCTTTGCGGATTTGTGCACCACCTTGGCTTCGCTTTTGGGCGACGACTGCGTCTGTGTGTGGGCGAGAGAAAACAATCAAATGGCTACAGAAATACAATAATAACAAATGGCAGACAAAAACCGAAAGCTTAACAAATGCAAAAGTTATATTTAGCTGCCACCGAGAACGCAATGAAAATTCATGCAAACGAAAATATACGAAATAACAAAAGAGAAATAATAATACAACAAAATTATTGAAAATATCTCCAACAAGTTGGCAACGCGCCGGCCCAAAATAAACCACAATTTAAATAAATTTACAGCAAACGTTGGTCAAATATTTTGACCCCAAAGCGAAAGTTGCAGTCAAAAGCCAAAAGCTGTTGCTGCCAACATTTGCCCACTCTCTCTCTATGTGAGTGGGTGTGGCTGTGGGTGTGTGAACGTGTGTGGGCGTGTGCGCATGTGTGGGTGTATCTGTCTGTGTGCATATCCTTTACCGCACACAGCAGCTGCCCAGTTGTTTGTTTGCCTGTTACCTTCGCCGGTTCAGCGACAGTTTCCTGCTGCTCCTCCTCCTCCTCCGGCTGCTGCTGCTGCTGCTGCTGCTGCTCGTCCTGCTGCTGTGCCGCCTGCGTTATGTATACGTTGCGTTGGCGTTGACGTAGACGCTTGACGTGTAGGCGTGGCCGCTTGACAATTATCACTGGGCTGGGCGCCTGCTCTGTGGCCAGCCCTGCGACGGCTTTAGCATGATTTTCATTGATTTGATTGGGCGCTATGCGGTCGGACTAACATGGATAAATGATGAGCGGGTCGAAAACACAACACCATGATAACATGTGTGCACACACATAAATATAGATATGCTCGAGCGTAAATAATATATTACACAGAGTTAAACGCTTAATGAGTGGCTTCAATGTAGACCGAATTTTAGTCAGATGGCATTTTTCAATGGGCAACATGTTAATGAGGCAATATTTTCTCTAGATATCGAATTGTTACTCTCACTCATATACACATACATACATATATACAATTCCATATGAACTGCTGAGCGATGCCTTGCACAGTGCCTAAAATGCTTCTGTTTTGTTATCATTAAAAAAAGTGAGAGTGCTCTAGGTGGAAGTGAACGAAGGTTCCTTGTTCTGACATTTCTTTGCTGAGAGATGAGAGCTGCACACATACATACATATGTATTCATAAGCTTAAGCAGACTGCCGGCTTAACGCTCTGCTTACTGTGCTGCGACTACGCTTGGGCTGCGCTTATAGACTTTACTATGGGAACTTAATTCCTTAATAACTTTTCTTTTAGACATATGTTCATAATCGAATATTCAGAGCTTGATAAAAAGCACTCAAACTGTATTTGCTGAGCCTCTAGTATATAATTGGAGGGAAGCATATATATATCAATATACCAATATATATCATATTTGCATATTAATAATAAGAATATCCACAGAAAATTGTGCATTTCCAGCCTTTATAATATTCAAGTAAAACGTATAAAGGAATATCAAATTATTGAAAATATTATATAAGGAATAAAAATGATATTCTAAAGGGGTATTCTAAATTTTAAGTCTAACATTTGTGGTTAAATGTCTATTTATTTATTTATTTATTTTTTAATTTTAATTTATTATTTTGTTAATCAGGAAGCCCTAGAGCATCTCATAAATTCTCTAAATGCAAAATCCTTAACTCTTCTGGTTTACGAGATCGCTGAGATCACACGGAGGGCTTAAAAACTAAGAGATATGACGACCTGAGTTGATATGGCCAAGTGCATCTGTCCGACATGACCACAACGACTCAACGCGTCATATTTCCTACTTTAGAATGTCTTCAGGGTATGAATAAGAAAGAGAAGCTTATCACTCATTACATCTAGCAGATAAATAGCAACGATAATAAACAAAGAATTGCGAATAAACAAAGCTTCACTCTTTAGTTGGCAGTCAACAATGTCGGCTGCTATCGCATCTAGATTATTTGCCAGGCGATGCAATCTTATCTGGGGTGAGGCCTCGAGGTACCTCGGGGTGCCTGCATTTAACATCTTAATTAATATCACTTACGTTCTGGGCAATCAGCGAATACTTCTTGGGCGGCTTGACCTTCTGCACGTAGGTGGTTGGGCCGGCGGTGGGCAGCGGTGGAGGCGGATCCTCAACGGTTGCTGCGCCCTCGGTGACAGAGTGCTGGGTGCCCAGATTGACAGAGTGGCTGGTCTTGCGGCCATTCGCGTGTGCCTCGGAGCCGATGTAGCCATGCTCGCCCACGCTGCCGCCAAGCAGAGCGCTGGCGCCGACGTCATCGTTGGCCTGAGCCGCTGCATATGCACCGCCAGCGGTGCGACCTGTGTGAGAGTGGGTATCATTCATTTAGCTCGAAATCAAAATCAAAATCAAAATCAATTAATGTGTTAAGTACCGTTGAGACCGCCGCCAATGCCAGCTGCGGCACGCGATCCCCAGGGTGTGCCCGCCGAGGCGCTGAGGCCGCCGTGGGCTGCGTTGCCCGTCAGCAGGCCGCCCAGTCCGGCATCGGCATGGAAGCCGGCAAAGTTGACGCCCACCTTGCCATCGCGCAACGTAATCAGCTGCAACAGAAATGAGAGACCTTACAGATTAGAGAGTGCGATGAGTTGGGCGCCCTGAGTTGGCCAAACTTGGTTACACGCTGCGTATACTTAATGTTATTGAAAGTTTCGCTCTTTGTTTAGGCATGCAAAACTTTGGGCCGACGCCGACGCCATTTTTCACAAATAGTAAAAGTTTTGCGCCGAAACGAAACTTTGACCAAACACCCAAAGATATTGGCCAAAAGGTAGGCAGCCCCAGGTAGGCAACAAGTTTCACCTCTATGGCATTTCCGGCCGCCCGAAAAGCGTCAATCAATTTAAATTAAGTTTGCCAACTTTCTAATAAAACCGAAATACGAATGGAATTCGATTGAATGGCCGACTTAGCTGCATTCATACCGAAAGAGGGCCACATCAACCAGGCCTGACCCTAAATCATAAATTTCAATTACCCAAGTCCTGGCAGCGGCACACGTGTTGAACAGAAACACACTTTGTGTTTTAATTCCACATTTTGAAAAGTTCGTTTTAGTTAATCTTCGGCAGGCTTAAGTTTTCGAAATCATGGAGTTAACTGAGCAGCGAGGGGAGGCTGGGGGAGTTTCTAACTTGGCAAGAGGTCTGCCCGGAAAGTATTGCGCTTTATATGCTGCGTGATTTATGTTCTATTTTGGATTTATTTTTATTTTGATGGTCTCTCAATAATTGGCGAATTTTCAGCACTTGACATTTGGCAGCTGGGCAAAACACGTTTGCCTTAATTGTTTGCTCAGTCCACAACAGGTACAACAGGTTTCGAATAATGAACCTGTTGTACTTAAGTATAGCGCAAATAGGTTCATTATTTTTTTTAATTATTTAAATAATATACAAATAATATTTAATCAATGTGTACAATAATTGACAATTCATACGAGTCGCAACGATGAAGATGAAGAGGATACCTCAGAGCATTTCGCAGCGGTGTCAGTTAAGATAGCAAGAGCCTCATTGACTTGTAAGTCTTTTGTCCACAATACGACACTGATGAAAGAGTATATCAGGCACTTTGTTTCCCTAAATAAATAATTGAAGAGTCTGAGCCAGCAGCAATGTGTTTTGTAGCAAGTCCGTATAAATGAGTTCTTTTCAAAGATTAATTAATATATAAAGTGTCAGCAAATTCCTAAGCAAGCCCGTTCTCTTCAATGGAATTATTAATTTGAACATGCTTTACGAATATATAAAATAATAAAAAAAAAATATATATATAAATAAATAAATATAAAATAATAATAAAACCCTTGATAATTCAAACTGTTTTTTCTTTTCGCTCTAAAACTTCGAACCATTCATTATTTCAAACAGTGGATAATTCGTAAGAAATACCCAGTATCGACTGTATATACATACATATATGGATGAAATTTTGTAAAAGAAAATTATTAAAAAATTGCCAAAAAAAAAAACACACATTTGTTTTAATCGTTTTAAATAATTTCTTTTTTATATACATTTATATATTTTTAAAACAATTTTTTATATTATTTTTTATTAATATTTATTAACTTTATGTTTTTTTTTTTTATTTCTTTTAATATTGTAATATAAGTAAGTTTTTTTGCCTATAATACTTTCATATCATTTATTAATGTGATAATTTATAACAATTTATAATTTATAATAATTTATAATAACAACAAATTAATAAAATTAATTCTCTGTTTTATTAAAATTTTGACTGTTCATATTTGATTATTGTTTGCTTAGTTTCATATCTTCTCAAACAGTTCAAATTTCAACTGTTATCGCCTTAGCTTGCTCCACTCTGTGCGGCACAGCTGATTCCGTAGCACACTCCAGTCTTGTTTTACAATGTTCTTCGCTTTGTGTAAGCCCATTACATATTTGGGAATATCAACGTTTGCACAGTTTGCTATCGCCGGCCTATTAGCTCAGCTTATTCAATAGAATTTACGCAAGTGCGGGCGCTGCTGGCGCTGAAATCTATATCAGTTTGAGTGATAAGCTGATAAGCGACAGTCGCGACTCGGCGGGCAGAGAGTTCGAACATTGTGTTTTTCCCATATTGGAGCAATTAATGCATAGAGTAATTATTGGAGAGCCGAAGCAGAAGACAACAACAAGTCTGAGTGGAGGATGTCATTGCGATAAGGGAGCAACTGTGAGAGTGTGTGTGAGACAGAGAGAGAGAGAGGGAGAGTGATAAAAGCACCTGCAAGCTGATAAAACATTTGAAGGTAGACAGTGCGTTAATATTTAACTTGGTCACTTGGCCGCGACTCATTTGAGTTTCACACCTTGCGCGTTGCACAAACCGTAACCGAAAATCTCCGTGTGCCACATGCGACCGTTATGTTAACAAAAACTACGCTTATCAGCCTATTGCTGGTGCTGCTCGTGCTGCTGCTGCAGGGCAGCGATGGCGCCACAACTACCTGGGGGCACGTCAACAAATATGCCAGCACGCTGCATGCACAAGATGTTTACTTGGGGCACGTGAGCAGCACGGATGCGGATGCGGATGCGGATGCCACGGCTGTCAGTGTGGATGTTCGGGATGTTGCATACGGCGCCCAGGTAGTAGCACAACAAACAGGTGTATGGAAATGCGCGCATAACATGACATTTATCCCACTCGCACAGAACTCGAGCGCAGTCGATGGCTACACGATAACGGCGGTGCATGCCTACGACATGACCTTGCCGGGGGGCAACGGCGGCCGGGTGCGTTTGCTCAGCGGCGGCGTGGGCCAACAGCATGCCGTAGTGCGTTTCCAGCGCTACGCCCAGGTGCCCAGGGCGCACTTCCAGCTGGTCATCTACGGCCTCGCCCTGGGCTAGGCGTGAAGTGCAGGTGATTCTTATCGCTTAGTCGCTAGAGATAACTTTGCTTGCTGTTTAATTTAACAAAGTTGCCCTCTCTCACTCTCGCTGCCACTCTCTCTCTTTTACTCACTTGTCTACTCTTTCTTTCTTTCTAGTCAATTGCCGAGGAAACTTAATTAAGTTGCGATTCAACTTTGAATTCGATGTTGGCAACTTCCTGCTCGACAGACGGCAAAGCTAACTAAGTTATTATAATGTCATAATTAAGAGCATGAGAGTTGCGCTTATTAGCATGAAAAATGTGAAAATTCCATTATAAGTTAACAGACACACACACACATGCACACACACACACGCACACTTCACAGAGTTTCAGTTTTTGAGCAGCTTCGGAATTTAATATCGTGCGACATCTGAGCAGGAGGCGCTACGAATGTTGTTGCTGTTGCAGCCATACGTAATGAGATGCAAATGCACACTTAACCACCCACTTACACACACACACACACACGCACTCACACCCACACACACACACACACATGCACAGCAAACCGCTTAGCGGTTTGGTTTTGCCAGCATAAGTCGCTTTAAGCGCTTGATAAATGCAGTTTAACGCCGCCACGCCCACTCCTTTTTTTTGGGGGGGTAGGTGGTGTACGCCCACTTAAAATACAATATGGCACATAAGAGGCTTTGGGCCGCTTAAGAAATAATTTATGTGTAGTTGTTGCAAGCAATCGCATCATTCAATTTACCCACTGCTTTTGCACCTGTTCAACTCTACCTGACGTTACCTGGCGTTCAATATGTGTTTTGTCTTAATTGACAATTGGCATTAGACTATTAGAGATTCTAGCTTGCATTATATATGAAGCATGTGCTAGGGCAAAAACAAGCAAAGTTAAGTCAAATGCAAATTTATTGAGTGAATGAGTCAGATGTGGGTTTGATTAATTATTGATATGCATAGAAGGAAATATATAATAGCAACGTTTCAGATGTAGTTGATGTGAAAACAAGTCAACTACAACTAGGCTTTAAGTAACGGAAATGCCAAGCCCCTTATGGGCCCATTAAGAGCTATAGCAAAAGAAACTGTAATAAGACTAAAACTATTTGAAATATTAATATATAGTATTAAGGCTGATTTAAATATATATCTATGACAATTTATAAAAGAGATATGAATATATAGTATTAATGCTGATTTAAATATATATCTATGACAATTTATATAAGATATACATATGTATGTATATGAGATCAATAAACGACTTGGTTCTACAAGCTCTAGCAGCGCCTATTTGAATACTACTTGCTAAGGGGGTTATACTTTTAAAATATGATAGTAATCTCTACATCTAGATTCCAACGGAAGATTCAAAATTTGCCTCAGCTCTGAAGCTCTGAAAATGAGCAAGTTTACCATGAAATTCTTGTCGAGTCGTAATTGAAATTTTAATTTGAAATCTATAATTTTTCAGCAGACTTTCAATTGATACACAGTTAAATAGAAAAACATTTTAGATATTTTAAGAACTGTAACGTTAACTATGTATATCAAGTATAGCTATAATAAATTGTATCACTCATATTTGGTCTCCCATTATTCAGCTCCCATCTAATATGCCTGAAAAGCGATCCAAACTTTTGTTTTCATTTCAATAATTTCGAAAACTCATTGTGAAAGTTTCGAGCAGTGCGATTAGAATTTGAAGTAATGGCAATAAAAGGACATTCGCTTTGTTCAAACTGTTTGCAATACTATGAATGGCTGTTTGTTTGCTTTGTTGTTGTTGGCGCTGATAAATATTTGCACGAATCCATGGAATTTTGTGCTGATAGAAGCGAATTCGGATTCCATTGTCAGCCTGCTTGCAAATGTGTTTATTTGCACTATTTAGGGGCAACTGCCATAATTTGTTGATAAACATCAACGGCCGCATCTAGACCCCAAACATAAACAACAAACAGCAGACAATGGCCACGGCCCTGGCTAATTTATGTCGCAGATTGCCGATTGCAGTGGAAAGTCTTTAAAGCTTAATAACTTTTAATACAGTCCGAAACTTTTTCGTTATTCGTTTTTCGGTATTTCTTGTATGCCCGCAGCGCATTAGAAAAATTTGCATGATAACCCACAAAAAAAAAGAGAAGAAGAAGAAGGAAGAGAGAAAAATTCTTAACCCTTGCGCGAGCCATTACGCGAGCCTTAATTTCAATTTCAATTGTGTACAATTCCCACGAGCTCGCAACAATTTGGTTAGCTGTGGCAAATGCAAATTTCATGCATGCGTTGATTCAAATCTAAACTCTAGTTCGCCGCAGGCGACCCAAAACCGTAAACAAATAGAAATAAACCAAAGCGTGCCGGCAAGATCTACGAAGATGGCCAAAAAGTACGCGAAGCCCCCTTAAAACCCACAAGCGAAACCCAAAAACTTTGCTGAAGCAAGGGCAACTGTAAATGTAAAAGAAGTGCAGCAGCAACGCCCAGCGGGTAGACATGGCCAACGCGAGCCTTTTGCCACCTGAGCCAGCGGCTGACAACACCCTGAACTGACAGCAGACGCGACAAAATGGCTGCTATGCAGGCAAACACAAGCACAAATGCCAACACAAATACCAGCACACATACACTCACACCGACACACACACACTTGTGCTGCATGCAAATTGCAGTGAAAATATTTGTCGCATTTGCGGCCGCACTTGCACAATGCGGCGTATGCGTAATTAGCTAAAAATTACGCTTCATTTGCGTTCGTGTCGGCATATCAGATGCCACATAGGCCGGTCGAAAGTTCAAGGCAGATGCTGCTATTAAAATGATATATAATCGTGCACTATGACTAAGGAGTAAAAATATACACAAACACACACACACACAAACACACACACACACAGGTTAATGGGTTATCCGCTGCTCAAAGGTAATTAGCTGTTTGTACCTTGGCGCACTCATACTATAATTATAAATGCCTCAACTCGACGACTCGGCGAGCTGCCGAATGAGCTACTAAAGTTCTTCATTGCCACAGTTAATAGCCGTTGCATTGCGCAACAATTTAATGGGCCCACGTTGCTCACGTTGCCTGCCGGACACTCGCCAGCTGCTGCCCGCCGACCCCACCTGTCCACCTGCCTCACCTGCCTGCCCCACACAAAATCAAGTGTTCGACCGTTTGTGCAGCAAACCGCAAATAAAATCAACACCAACATTTGCGCAAATTTCGCAACACACATTGGCAATAGCAACAATTTGTGATTTTGGCCAGAACGAAGTTTATGCAGAGACTCGATACGAGAATTTAGGGCTTTGCGAAGTGAAAGGTTAACAACTTGATTTTAAGCGGCGGGCATTGGGCTCAGATTATATGTCTATATCTATTATATATATATATCTCTATTTATATCTACTATATGCATACATATATATTTATATCTGTATATTTATATCTATATATATATCTGTATTTGTATCTATATCTAACTACATATATTTTATTTTTATGTATATCTGCCTGTATCTCTATATATTTCGATTTTCTCTATAATTTCTATTTAATAATAGTTTATGCAACTAATAACTAGTTCACTCAGATAGCTCAACTATTGTGTTTTCAGAAATACAGTAATTTTATATTGCATTTCATGAATTAATTTTACTTTGTCACTTCACAGATCTTAATTCTTGCTTTGGCCAGATATGAATTTAATTAATGCAAATATATTATTTTAAACTAGTTATTATAATTTTTTCTTGGCTGTAAAATTGAGTTTCAGCTAGATCTAATTCATTTAAACTTGAAATGATCTGCAGAACCGAGAGAGAGCGAGAGTTAGAGAAAGAGAGACAGAGAGAGAGAGAGAGAGAGAGAGAGAGAGAGTTAGAGAGAGAGAGAGAGAGAGAGAGAGAGCGAGAGAGAGAGAAAGAGAGAGAGAGACAGACAGAGTATTGGCTGTGGACTGTTGTCTTGCTGTCTTATCAAGTGGAAAGTTGATTTGCCATAGCCAGCCAAACTGAGCATTAAATTATTTCATTTTATATCCCTAATAGGAATTTCACATGACACATTATATATGTAGCTTTTCTCCTTGAGGTTACGGCTAATTGGCAGTTTAATGAATTTAATAAGAATTTTAAACAAACATTTAAACTGCTTCTATATATATTCTGTTTTTTATTGCAGCTGTGTATGGCAAATATTAAAGTTTAATATATGTCGATTTATCATATATAATAATGTTTCTATCAAAGACCGATTGAGAATTTAAAGAGATTTTAGCTGCCGCATTGCCTCACAGAAATGTCTATAGCACACAGTTGGAGGCGTGGCAGAGCGAATAAAGTGTATATACATACATATATACTTGAACACCTTTCACCTTTCCGTTAAAAATACGAATTTCCAACGAAAAGGTGAGCATGGAGTCAGCTTTAAATTCAAATTTATACTATTATTTATATTCTCATTTAAAATGAGAAACCTTTTAAGCAATTTGTGGAAATTAGCAAAAATAATAATCTATATGCTAAATAGCCATGGTATACCCCATATCACTAATAGAAGAATTAGACAAACTAAAATTTACTATGATTATCTCATTGAGACTTCATGAAAGTCAGGATTATTGCGAATTCGTCTGCCGCATAAACCCTTCACTAGCTATATTCGATTTTGTTTGATTTGCGCTGGTCGAATCTTTGCTGAGGTCGTTGATAAATAAAACAATTTGAGGTAGCTGATGGGATGCATTGCATTCACGAAATAATTGAAATATTTGCGTTGGACCAGTGCTAAAAGAATTAAGCACTAAATGGCTTTGTGGCAAGAGCAGCTTGGTCTGTTGTTGTTGTTGTTGTAGTTCGGTTAAGCTTTGCTTAATCACGAACTTCAGCAACGGCACACATGAGTGCATAGTTATGGCAAGTGTTTGTGGAAAGTACAAACAAGAAATTTGAGTTGGTTGTTAGACTAAGTTCCTAGTTTTGACCAGGCTGTAGTAAAACAAAGCAGAAAAAGAAAAGAAAACTTACCTGAGCTGGGGCCAATGTGGCTTGCAGCAAGAGCAGCAAAGCAGCTCCGAATAGCGCAAACATTTTGCGGCTGAAAAACAGGTGAAACAAAATTAATTTCTTGCTTGGCCAACAGTGTTGCCAAACAGCCCAGAGCCCTCTGCGAGCTGAGAGGCTGACTGGCTGACTGGTTGAGTGGCTGAGAGGTTTGCCTGCAACATTTCAGTTCTCAGAGTTTGCCGGCATGAAAACAAAAGACTCGACTGTTTCTGTATGCACAACGCGTTCGGCCGGACAGTCGAGAATGTGAATTCTTGAAGCACAGCCCAGCCCAGACGGGCTCATAGCACAGGTGCGCCGCCAACTGGTTAGCCAGGCGATGCTTCAAGTCCAGTACATAGCATCTGCTTATTATGTAGAATGCTCGATTGCCTAATACAATTTGTACCTGAACACTTTTTCTTTTTTTACTTCTTGCTCGCCTTGTTGTTTTGTTTTCTTAATTTGCGCTTCGTTTATAAATCACAGACTACAAGAAACTCGTCCACACGCGACGCGCTGTCGTTTAGCACTGACTCAGTGAGTCTGGCTCTGTCCGGCTCTGAGCGTTGCTCAAACTTGAATTGAGAAATGCGAATGTAGTCTACGGCAGCAGCTTCTGTCTGAGACTGGACGTCTCAGTTCAACTGGATTTGAGTCGCAATTAAAATGCAAACGTCTCTTTATATAGGAATTTATATGTTCAATGTCTTGGATGAATTCATAATCGGCAAGCGGAATAGGCGAGCGAATGCCACAGATAAGCGTATGCGGCAGCATACGATGCTTGAGCGGAGCAATAAAACCCAAAGTGTAAACATATAAACCAACTCTATAGTATATGAACTTTTTGGCTCTTTGGCTGGGGCTGGGGCTGGGACTGTGCTGCAATTACGCATACGCCCCAGTGGCTGCACTGCAGACCGGTTACGGCTCCATTATATCACTTGAGCGCAGAGCTTTTATTTCGGGTCTCGGGCCGACTATAGCTGACCATAAAGATGCGGTTGACGCTTAATACGCTTCGCTTCAGTTTCCATTGCGGTCGCATTGAAGTTCTTCACTGAGTGTGGATGATGGACTTTTAAATGGGTGTGCATGTGTGTGTGTGTGCCACTTGCTGCTGATGGACTCTGCACTTTAAGCCTTGCCCTGCCAGATAACAAATTAAATAGGCAAATGAGCAAATGGCCAAATGGCCAAATGGATATATATATATCTATTTATATCTTTATGCAGCAGCAAACAGGCTTTGTTAGTCTGCTGAATGGTTCTTTTCTTTTCTTCTATTTTTTTTGCTTTCTTCTACTAATAAGCGCTCATTAAAAATTCAAATGACAGCCACACGACTCTCCTAGCGACTTTTGCTCGATCCGAGCGACCAGGCAGCGTGGGAGCACGTGCTGGCCAAATTGTTGTGAAATGCGTGAGCGAAATCAAATGCCCAGAAAAGGGCCGTATTCACAAATATAATTCTAATTAAATGCGCCGAATTCGATGGCAGCAAAGGCTCAAGCCGGGCGCTGGTCCGATTCATTGGCGCGTGTGGTCCCTCAATTGCTATTTGACTTGAGCTTAATTTCTCAATATTAATTCAAGTTATTTGCCCAAAGCAACCCCTGAGTAATTCCAATCATTAGTCACTGACATTGGAAAATTTGTGAAACGCGTTTGCCTAATTGATTCACAACGCGGCGAGTTTAAGCTTTAAATAGAGATTTACTTATACATTAACTAATATCTGATTTGTTTTTAATTGGATCGATAAACAAGTTTGAACAAATATTTATAATGGAAAAGTTATATCAGAATTTGCCTAATGACTTTTTCTCTTTTTGTGCACCTAATTTGTCTTTAGCATTTGTCAAAAAAAATATATATATACATGAAATTTCATCAAAAATATATTCAATGAATTTCCTATATATATATTTATATATTATTTTTTTTGCGACAACGCCTTTAATCTTTTAGGTGTTATTAGTGAATTGGCTTCTCGGAAATGTTTAAAGATTGATTTCTTGATGACTGACAGACGCCCCGCTGATATGGACAGCCGCAGGCTGTTGACATTCTTGCTGCGGCCATTTCGTTTTCTTTTCTTCTTGTTTTCTTCAGTGTAAAAGCTGTTGACATTTTTATGCGACGCGCAAAAGTATGCTACGCTCTTTCGCCCGACATTTTGCATGAATTAATTATAATAACAAAAAGCGTTGCCTACATTTAGGCGGCAAAAGAAAATGCCCATGCAAAATAATGGGCAACAATTCCATTGAATTTATTAGGCAAGGCTCTTGTGAAAATATATATAAATATTTGTTTACAAAGGTGCATAATCATATTAAAATATCCATATAGATTTATTTATATCAAGTATGAAGTAAGCTTTCAAGGTTTTCATAAAACTTAAATGTTTAATGAGTGAATTTCTTGAGTGAAAAGTCTTTAAACTTTACACAGACTTAGCTTAAGTGAAAAATCAAGCATTTCAGGCATAAAACATTATTTTATTTTCAAAAATACTTTGCAGTTACAACACGTATTCAAACACACTTTGAAGCTGCATGAGAAACACATTACATCAAAATACATTAATTTTTGTTTACACATATTTTTTTTAATGCTTTTTCTTTTATAAATACAATTAAATTAGACTTACAACAATTTTACATATATCACAACGAAAACATCTAAGAGCTAAACATTAAAAAAGAAACACATACATTCACACATACACATGCACAAGTAAAGACACTCACACTAATACAGTTAAGACTTTCAGCTAACACATAGAAATGCCCATTAAACACAACATTGAGAAACGTGTGCGCCTTGCCCTTTGTTTGGTCTAAGGTCAAAGTTGAGTTACGAACTAATTACGAATAAATGTAAACGTTAACGTAAACGTAGACGTAAAAGTAAAGGTAAATGTCAAGTACTGCCACTACGCCAGCTCCTCGCGCATTTGTTGACGCTCAGCGTTGCCCGTGGTGGATAGCCGAAAATTGCCGGGCATCGCTGGCGGATGACCCGCTGGCAGCCGGAGTGGCTCGTCCGCTCCGATAGTTACCGACTTCTCCACACCCTCCGAGGCCTGGCGATAGCTGCCCGTGAGGCGGCCCACCAGGGTGTTGACGGCTCGCAAAGTGGATATGGGTATCTGCAGGGAATGGTAAATAGCTGATTAGCCAACGAGTTGGATTTGCATCAGGCACTTAGCTTACGTCGAAAATGCTGTCAATTAACGGCCGTAGACTGAAGAACGGAAAGCTCGATTCAGCTGCATTGCTGCCCGCAACAATGGCACCGTTCGTCGCTCCACTGCCGCCGCCCAGACCCCCAAACACCAGCGCGGCATTCTGCTGTATGCTGTGGCCGCCCCCCACGGCGGACTGAGGCCTGTCATACTGCGCGTAATCATGGCTCGGATAGAGCAGCATATTCTGCACGGGCATCGGCTTCAGCAGTGTCTGAAATTGGCATTAATAAACGCATTAATACAATCATGAAAGCTGCATTTGGGGATAATATAGATTTATATACGTATTTAAAATAGTTTAGTTATTCTAGTTAAACCATTAATATGAATGAATAATAAACTCTATTAACGGCACTTCAATTGAATTAATGGGTATTGTTTTAGATAGAAACTGGTTTACAGTGAGCTTAAGTGCATTTTAATTGCAAATGTATGAAGTGTTTATTCATGAATCAAGTTTATCAAAGTCTTGTTAGAGTATTTTTTCATATTATTAATTTGTACATGACTAAGATCTTAGTAAATCAATTTATGCATTGATAAGTGTAAAGAGCACATTATATAAGTCAAGGTTACACACTAAACGTTCTCAGCTCAACTCTCTTAAGCATCTCTCAATATATTTCGCATTGCGCTCAAAAGTATGCAACGAAAATTTTCATTTCTACAGGGAGTCTTTGGGGTCTGATTTAATGGAATTCTCTTACTCACATCGTTGATTAGCACCAGTTCCTGTCGCTGTCCTCTCGCATAGCCGGTGACACGTGTGAATTCCGTGACCAGGTGCGTCATGACCACCAGCAGCACAAACCATACGAAACGGTCCATGGCTGTGATAATTATCTGCAAGAGTCGTTAGAAGAGAAAACCAAACAACTTGATTAATTTGGCATATCCACTAAGGATGTTTACACACTTAAACGTACATCATTGTCGAATGTCATTGGCGTCAATTAAATAGTCGCTTTAATTTGTCTTAATTTGACTGCTAGCACATTGATCTTGCACAAGCACTGCGATTGCAATTATGGCACCAAAATAACGAAACTCAAAGTCAAGTTGATGCCGATCGCTGCGATCGTTGCGATTGAGCCGCCAACCACGTTCTGTGAGCCAAATGGGTTTTTGCTCATGATTTCATTGGAGAATTCGCAAACTGCTGTTGCTGCTGCTGCTGCTGCTGTTACTGCGGCTGGGATTCTGAAATGTGGATTAGCACAAGGCCAACTTGCCGCGTGGCGTTTGCCAGGCGTAACCAGTTTTGTTTTTCTGCTACGGCTGCTACGGCTGCTGCTTCATGTGTATCAAGCAGCAAGTTTTTCCACAGCCCGCACATTTTCCGCGCACTTAAATCTGTTTCGAAAGCCGCCGCAAAGCAACAACAGCAGACGCTCGGCCAAGGCGAGTGACCAAGCGGCGTATGAGCAATAACACGCTGCAGCACCTTCAGCAGCGCCAGGGGAAAATGTAAATTGTTTGCTTGATTTATTTATCTATTTTTGTCTCGGTTTTAAATTAATTCTAAAATTATTTTAATTTCTTGTGTATTATTTTTATAGGCGCACACGCTTATAATATATGCAAACTAGAGTATAAATTTGTCTGTATCATAATTAAGATGTGTTTTAATTTACATCTATTTAAATTTGTTTTTACTTTTTTTCTTAGTAGAATTGTTCTTATATTTTTGTTTATTTATGTCTTAATATACTGTAATTATTAAAGGTTCTTATATATACATTTTTCTTTTTTTATTGTCTATATATTTTAGCTTCTCTGTGGGGATTTAATTTATTTTGTATTTATTTTCATTCATTGTTATATATATCTGTATTTATTTATGTATAAATATATTTAATTCTCTTATTTTTTTCATATATTTTTTATTTATCTGTGATGCTTGATACAATGAATAAAAATGAAAATAAATGCAAAATAAATTTTTATTGTATGAATAAAAATGAAATTAAATGCAGAATAAATTTGTTTTTTTTTTTTTAAAATTTTTTTTTTTATTGTTTTATATGTTTTTATTTCTAAGTAGGTATGTCTATATATTTAATTTATTAACCTTTGTCAACATTTATTGCTTATATATTTTTAATTTATAGCCTATTAATTTCTAATTTATTTGCATGCCTATTGATTGCTTTTTTATAGTTTATAAATCTATATTTAATTTAATCTAAAATGTATTATAATGTTGTTTGCTTTATCTATATAACTTAGAGTGCTTACATTTGTCAACATATAGACAAACAATTTATAGACCGCAAGTTCACAGGTCAGCCTTAAGTAGCGACAGTCAATAAACCAAACATATAAAGCACATGCACACACACACATACACATATATGCATATATACACAAGTATTTCACGCTCGAACGCCTCCACGCCTCAGTTTGTTAACTCTTGTCGCCGTTTATATGGCCGATTGCGTTTGCAACATCAGCTGCAACAACAGGCGCTGTGGCACGGAGCATTTGTCAAGCGGCACTGACTTTGCACAGCTTGGCCTGGCCATGCTGCTAACTATGCCAAGTCTAATTGTACAATTGTTGAAGTTGTTTTTCAAACACGCGTCTTGAAGATTCTGTCACGGCCTTGACACGAATCGTCGGGCGCATAAACAAAAACAATAAAGCATCAACTCTAGCTGGGCAATTAAATAAATAATTAGGCAAATGTTGGCTCCAACCCTGACCCTTGACTGGACTGGCTCAAAAGATTCTTTTTGCCTCAAAAACAAAACGCAAAAACTAAACACAAATCAAAACAAAAAACAGCCCAAAATAAAAGCCAACAAATAAATAAAAAAAAAATAAATAAAAAAACATTGAACAGTTAAATGTGGAAATTATTAACATTCATTTAGGAAATGCATAAATCAAGAGAGAGCAAAAACAAACAAAAAAATCTGTGTGAATCACTCAAGCGACAATGCTTGAGGAGGGTTAATATGCAGGCAATAACAGCAACAAGGCAACAAAAAATGTTTGAAGCGGCTATAAGCGGCTGTTTTATGCACGCTCAGGGTTGAAGGGTTGTTTAAGGTATGAGTGCAGCAATATACATATATTATATATATTAGGAATTTAGACTGGACTCTTAACATTTCACACTTAGATCCAGTTTGTTTCGTGCAAATTCACTTTAGATATTTAAAAATCTAGCATTAAATGTTCTTAAAACGATATCACCTGGCCGCAATTATCAAAAACAAGTTTCAGCCAGTCCTACTCTATTCAACACCATCAAACGCTCCTATTAAGCAGCAAAGCTAATGGACTGTTTGCATAAAAATACTTAAATATCAAATGCCAAGCCTTTACTTTAGGTCTTATCATCTATAGTTCATGCAGAAGCAATAAACCCAAAAACCCATATACCCCACTTGCAATTACCCAAACGAGCAGAGGACAGCAAACACAACTGACATTTATGTATGCGGGCTTAAGACTAAATTGAGTTGGTTGCTGGAGTTGGGCGTGGCAGCTGGCTGAGCTGGCAGTGAGTGGCTTTGCCATTTGTTTTAAAGTTTTCTTATTTTTATTTTTTTATGTTTATATATATTCTTTTTCGTTTTTGCTTTCTGTTATTATTATGCACATTTTAAGTGGGCAACAAAGTTGTTGCTTGGCTTGCATTTTGTGGCTCAGAAGGCAAGGACTGAAAATGAAATCAAAGACTGCATTTGGCATCGTATTTATGCCATATGATTACGGATTGTGTTTGTGTCTGTGTGTGTGTGTGTGAAAAAACTATTATCCATATATAATGGAGTCCAATCAGTTGTAAAGTCTGTCGAATGCAGTCGTCTCCCTTTGCCCCTCCCCTCTCCACAATCAATGCACAGCAAACAGTCTCTTGTTGCGTCTAATTAGAAAGATTTTGCTGGGCAAAGCAATGCAAAGTCTGTGAATGCAAAACTACAAATGGCATTTTCAGGGCGTCCTGGGCGAGTGCACAGAAAGTTTGTATAGAGCTTTGCCAACTCCAGTTGGTTACTAGGGAATTGTTTTTACTAAACTATTTACCCAAACAGCTTATGCACACGCACACACACACACACACACACACACAAAGAGTTTTACCATTTGAGTTGCTTTTGTCTTTCTCATATTTAATTTGAATTTATTGTGAGTTTTGCAAATGAAATTTTGGCTAAGCCCAAGACTACAACAATGCTTGACAGCAAAGTGCTTACATTTTGCGGCACGGGGTGCGTATACGTAATGTGCAGCGCATACGCACCGTTTTCCGCCGGGCAGCTCTATAACTCGCTTCCAGCTGCAGCGTGTGAGTTTTCATATTTGTGTTTGTCGTTCTTTTTTCCGTTGTTTACTGTTTACTTGGCTCCGACTGTGACATTTTGTTTACCCAACGCGCAAAAATCTTTTGTTATTCTTGCTCAAAAAAATAAAAAAAGAGGAAGAGGAAGAAAAATAGCTTTGGCAAATATTCAAAGTGCAAACAGAGCTAAAATCGCGTGGTAAACACATAATGCAAAGTGGATAGATAGCTGTCTGGCACGTTATTTAGTCTGATCTGCTAGGATATGCAAGAGCAGACCATAAACACGCACACACACACACACACAGAGAGAGAGTTATTCTGTCTTGGTCTATTAAATCTGTGACACATTTATGTGAATATATTGTTTCATCAAAGATTTTGTGGCGGCAGCCAAAGTTTCATCTGCTTGACGTTTGTTTGGCGAGTGTTAATAAATATTAATTATTTTGCACACACACACACACTCACTCACACACACACTAATGCAGAAGCAAACGCTTTGAGGTATTTTAAAATAACAATTTAAATATTTTTCTATTGTTTAGGTGCGAAGCTCATAAAAATAAATTGAATCTAGTTTGGTTTCAGGCAACTCTGAGGAAGCACGTTGGCTAACGCAATTTAAACAGGCTAACAGCATTTGGCAAGCGAGCTGGCGATTATAGCCATAGGCCAGAGCTCGAAATTCATATAGAAATTGAAATTGATTAAGTACTACTCCACTTCTGGCTGAGTCTACTTGACATTCTGGCCGCACACTCTAATGTCAGTTATATAAAACTCAATCTCAATTGTGTTGACCTGTGTAATTGGCAGAGCTGTGCAATCAAATGTGCAACTCATTCGAAATTTGTGGTTATATTTTGGCTTTAAGCGCGTGTTTCATTCATTTTAATCTAGTTCTCAACGTGCTCTTACTACTGAGATAAATGACAGCCAGTTTGGCTGATATAATGAATAATAGACTGTGCATATAATAAGCTCTATAAACTACTGAGATCGTGACTTTGTGTTCATTTGTGTTCGCAGTATCGTAGTTTCTGCTAATCTTTAGTCAATTCATAATATCTTTTCTTAGCTTGCACATGAATACGTACATATATGGCAAGCGTGGAGCTGTTTATTATTAATGCTATAGTTGCAATTATCAGCAATAAAGATTATTTATCAGATGGTCTTATAGAGATATAATTGTAGCTTAGTGTGTGGGAATATAGTTTCTTGGTTCACATTGCTGAGGGATTGTGCTTAATCTATGGATTAGCTTCGAGCTTTAGTTTATGTATTTATATAAGAGGAGCAACTAATCAATCACTAGCAGAACTTTTTGATTACCCGCTCACGCTTGTGCACGCTTTCGATACAAAAGTCAACTTATGTAAAACAACTTTCATAAGAAACCGCAATCGGATTATTATTTAATCGTGAAGCGAAAATAAAGTCAATGCAAAGAGGAAAGCCGCAGAGAATCAAAACATAAACAAGGCTTAAAATTCACAATTTTTACAGATTCCAGATTTGTACACAAAAAATGAAAAAAAAAAAG